GAGTCGCATCAGTGTATTTGTTGTAACAGGAAATGGCAATGGTTTGGCTGGGTTTGCACTAGCTAAAGCACCTGTCAAAAAGCAGCTTTAAAGACGGCCAAGAATAGAGCAGGTCTAAGATTAATGTATATACCTAGATACAAAGAGCATACTGGTAAGAAATAATGTAATCATGTGATATGCTATTGGCATCTCGCTTGTTTTCTTGATTTAATTCTGTGAGAATTTAATCCTGTAACAATAGAGATGATGGCTTTTAATAAGGTCTGTTCTTTTTAGCTGAACTGATTGCATTAGTTCAGAGTTTATCTTTCTTCTTCCAGTGTAAGAAAGATAAACTATGAACTAGTACAACTAGTTCAGCCAGAAAGACCAGGCCTTTAGTATACTGTTGATTCAGTATGATTATTTTAGTGTTGCACGACTTTTTCACTCAGTTTGGAAACACAAAGATATTCGTGAAGAAAATGTATGAAGGATATGGGCTTGTTTGCCATCGTGCGATAAAAGCGTGTTGCGAAGCAATTGGCATTAAAGATATATATGCCAAAGTAGAAGGAGCGAAAAATGTAAAGCATATTATAAAGGCTTTCTTCATTGGTTTATTGCAACAGGTATGTATCATACAGGATGTTTCGAATGGATTTTTGTCATTCGTCGTTTTAATTTATATTAGATAGATAGGAAATTTCAATTGACAAAAAAACATGGAGATTGTTTTAACATTAAAGATTAATTATTAGTGATGTTATAAATAACAGACGATAGATTACGAGCTTGTTCAATCAAGTCTTTTAGAAATATAGGAATGTAGATAATAGAATTTAGTCTCATTTATTTATTAATACTAAGTGAAGAATTGATAGAACCTCGATTATTATTATCCAAGATATTAAGGATTGTAATAACGAAATGTAAAGTAGAAATTGCTCCTCTTTCATTAAAATTATAAGCGTTATGAGAAGCGTTACGAGATATGAGAAGAAAAAGTTACTTGTCAAAAATTATCGCACCATGCTATAAATGAATTCGAAAATAAAATTGGAATGTTTGCAGAAATCGTATCAACAATTAGCGGACGAAAAGCAATTGCACTTGGTTGAGTTTAAATCGGAAAATGGAAACTATCCAGTAGTGATTGCTTCGCCATCACAAGTTAGAAAGCCGAAAGAAGTAGCGACCCATGAAATTCTTGATTTTACTCAATATGTATTGGGTGGCAAAGTAATATTGCAAAAAAAGAAATATCCACCATTTTATACTAGACTTCCGTCTTGGAAAAGAAAATTGGTAAAACTGGAACGATTGAGACACTTTGATGAAACAAGGATAAAATTAATAGCGGAATATGGAGGATTGCACAGTTTCCTAACTGAAAAATATCCAGAGGCAAAGTTTCAAAAACGAAAGCGAAATGAAAATAATGAAACAGAGGATTAGAAAGTGTATTCAACGTTGTACTTTATACATAATGTGTAAATATAAATAAAATCCTCATAATTACAAAAGAAACATGGACATTTCTAAACTGAAACAACATCGTGTCGCATTGCTCGCATTGTATTTCACATTGCAATTTTTTGATAATTGTCAATAATGTACACCGTTAGATCAGGTGATAAACGTAGAGAGAAGTCTGAAAACGGCTATCGTGACTTTTTCTTGTGAGATCATTAAAATCCTCTGCACGTTACCGCTAATACATCCATTTTCAAATTTAGAACTACATAATTACATCCATTTTCCGATGCTGTCGATAAAATCGCTTTCTGGCACATACCTGTGCTGCGCCCACAATTCATGAATCAAGAATATGTTTATATGGTTATGCACCTTCGTGTAATTTTTTTATTGTCTTTCCAAAGTCCAAAATAAAAAAATTATTATGCGAAGATGCATAATTACATAAGCATATTCTTGATACGTCGTCCCTCTGTTTTTAAATCCGTGGTGAAAAGGAATCTTAAAAAGATACTACTCTATCTATCTCTATATTCTTACATCCATGACATTTTATGACATTTCATAATGGCGCGTAGTAATTTGTTAATATAGATTAAATAGATGGCCATAACTATTAGAATGGATCTAGACACAGCTTATATTGGTAATTAGATTTATTCATTTGAAACAACTTTAGACTGTTTTTATTCATTATTAAGAAAATAAATACATTATGTCGTGTGATGAATATATTACATACGAATGCTTTTTCTATGCATAGTTTAACTGATATATCAACATTCACATTAAAAATTTTCAAAAAAATGTGAACAAGTATAAATGGCGATTCAATGTAACATTAGACGAGTTTTTTTTTTCAATTCGTCGATTGATTAATCGCATAATGTGCAAATACTGCTTTTATAAAGCAAAGTTGCGTTTGCGCGTAATGCGATTTATTAATCGATGAATTAAAAAACTCACCTATTATCTATACGATAGGACGGGAGATTTTAATCTAATTGTAAAAGATTAAAAATTGTTCGAGAACTTATTGTAATAATTGGCTATATTTTGGATATCGTTAAATTTGCTAGAACCATTAATCGACGATTGGATGGAATATCTTCAACAAATGATGAAAGAACAGGAGCAAGAGCAATTTTTCGACGCAACTGATTTTGCTATGCCATTTGCAGGTAGCTAAAGAGAATACTAGTCAAATGTATACGCTGTAGAGATATTATATGATGTTAATTTTGATAACTTGGAACAATACTTGGTCGCAATAATGAATTTTGGAAATTATAATCAGCAATTCCAGCATCTACTATCAAAGCTGCCTTCAAAATAGCAAAATATCTTGAATTGGATTCAAATGTTAAGTATATGGCCATTCAGTTGTATGATAGATTCATGTGCAAATATTTCTGGGAGCTTTATAAGACTGAGATCGCAAATGATCCATCTGAAGCGTCTTGGTTTAGAATTTGCAAGAAAACTTCTAATCATACCAAATTATATCTAATGTCATGTTTTCAATTGGCATGCAAAATGGATTCTCATTCCAATAGTTTGGGAATATCGCAAGTACATTAAAAAATAATCTTTATGCTTTATGCTTATTGTGAAAATAAAAATATGATAAGTTTTAACAGATAGTTATGCCACCTGTTTTACTAGATTCTTAATATTTTATATCTGATTGATAAAGAATCTGAATATACACGAAATATGATCTCTTCTTCGGAAATTAAAGTTTTCCAAACGGTAGGATTTAAAATGCCCTTTTGTACACCATTGCATTGCATTCAAGTTCTTCTGGCTGCAACAGGTCTTAGAGAAACGCCAAATACATTTAATATTTCAATGGACTTGTTGGACTTAGCTTATTTAAAGGTTTGAACATTTCAACTTAATATATTTTTTCAGTTTATTTCTTCATGCAATTTATAATTTTCTGTAGATATCTCACTCAAGTTGTATACAATTTCAGCATGACAGATTATATTCACAATTTCATTTGTATTATGCACCTAAAGATGCTCGAAACACAGAATATGTAACAAGAAAGCTAATGTCATTGAAATCGAACATGCTTTTCCTAAGTGCAGCAATAGTATTTTGTGCAACCTTCTTTCTATGCTTGGACACAAACGCTTTGGAAGAACGAGTTATTCTAACAAAATTAGCGGAATTATCAGATACAATGGATACTGATATTTTTAATATGGCCAGTACATTGCTCTTGATAGTGACACAAGAATAAAATAACAATATGTATATTAAAAATTATTTCATACATGTAAACGTATGTGCATACACACACATAACAATAGCCATGTGTCGTGATTGAGTAAATATACAATCACTACTATGTATAATCAATGTACCATGTAAATATTTTGTAAAGAAAATTGATTAATATATAATTACATGTAAACACATTTGGTAATTATTTAGAATACGATCTTCACCTCCGATTTTGATAAAATTAGGCTCAATCGACGCGGTTTCATTCAATGATAAAGATGAACGATATGGATATGATTGTCCATCTTTATCATTTACCTCTCTTGCGTCTAGCATGGAAGAGAACCACAAAAACGTGCACATTACCTACGCGAATAAGGGTGTAGCTAAAACACGTCCATGACCACTCTTAGGCTTCTCTCTGATACCATTGTCATTATTGAAAATCTACGTGACGTATATTATATATTTTGAATAAATTTTTTTCGAAGAGACTGTTTTGGAGTGTAGCCTTAGACTGCGTTCCAATATTCACTGCCAGTATTAAAGATCTATAATATACGTGACCTGAACTGTATTTTCAGTACCGACAGTGAATATCGGAACGCAGCCTTAATATATGAGGAGAAATAGGAGAAATAAAAAGTAAATGTAATTCTTCTTCATCAATAATTTAGAGATATCAATAATAAATAGATATATACATTTCAACTGAATCTGCCATTTTATATATTTTCTATTTTGTTGCTCGAACTAAAATCTTAATTTAATAAATTTGCTATGCTCTCTAAATCAATACTGTTTTCGATCGCAGTGGATTTGATTCAATCCGAGATGATCCAATCCAATGGATTAACGATGTTATATACTAGACTCATCCAATCCAGTTTGAATTGGGTTAAATCGTGCAATTGAAAATGCTACAACTAGAAAAGTTCACTCATTAGAGTGCAAGTACAGAGAGTGCAAACAACGTGAGCAAATCTTGTTCCAATTCCATAAAGAGCCAATTGTGGTTCATGTTGATATATAGTTCACTGCTGTTCCAAATGGTATCGCTATAGTTTCTCTTGCTAATTTTTAACTTAGGGACTGTATAATACATATTCTATGGTATGTACGTTAGA